GAATAATTTAATTAGATTTGACATTTCCAAGCTCAGTCCTGGAGCTGTGTCCTCAGTATTGCTTTGGAGAAGGTTTATCTCCAGAGGAAAATACATGACCAAAAGGATGAATTAAGTGTTTATGGGAATAACAGGTATGGGGAAGGAGTTTTTAGAGGAACTCCTATATCCATAAGTGGGGTGGTAATCATGTAATTTTCCATCCTAATTGGGGCATTCAAACATTACATTTTAAAGAAATTTCAAACTTACAGAAAGGTTACAAGTACTGTACAAAGGACTCTTTTTTTGGAAGAGTTTAAGAGTAAGTTGCTGATGTGATGCTGCATCACTGAAACCATTTAAGAGTAAGTTGCTTATGTGATGCCCTATCACTCCTGAATATGGTAATGCAGCTCTCCTATAACCAAAGACGTTCTCCTAACTAGCCACAGTAGAACCATCAAAATCAGGCTATTAACATTGGTACTTTGCCCTATCTAGTTATTAACCTCCATTCAGGCTTCACCCATTGTCCCCATAATGGTTTTTATAGAAACAGAATCCAGACCAGAATCATACGTTGCATTTAGTCATTATGTCTTTTTTTAGTTGCCTGCAATCTGAAGAAGTTCCTTGGTCTTTCTTTGACTTTTATGACTCTTACATTTTGAAGAGCACAGACTATAGAATATTTACCAATTTGTATATAAGTCTAATGTTCTCTCATAATTAAATATAGGCTACCCATCTTTGGCAAGAACATCACATAAGTGATGCTGTGTTCTCATTGCATCCTGTCAAGTGGAATGTGATTTTAACTTGTCCTATTCCTGGCACTGTTAACTTTATTCAACTAATTGAGGTGCTGTCTGCCAGACTTCTCCACTTTAAAATTACTTTTTTCCCCTTTGTAATATGTATGTATAATGAGGGGAGCATGTTTGACCATGTAAATAGCATGTATCTCATCAACTTTTCATCAGACTTATTTGGCCCCAACAGATGGCTTTTGGATTGCATTGTACAAACACTAGAGGGAATGGAAGGAAGGCAAAAGAGGAAAGGGAGGAGCCAAACCAGGATAGATACATAAAGATATAGACTGAGAGTGTCTGTGCAAGTAGACACATGGTCTTTGTGGCTGGCAACCTCTAAAATGGCTTTCTTTGACATTCTCATCCTGTGCAATACCTCCTTATGAGTATACCTGGACTTGGTGACTTACTTCTTTTTTTTTTTTTTCAAGTTTCAGATATTTATTATTCAGTGTAAACCCCAACACAATACACCAACATGATTTCATGCATTTAGAGGGGAAATATTTCCTGGATAGGTGGAAAATTGTGTGGATGGCTTCTGGAAGACCTTCACTGTAAGCAGCTTTATAGTGAAACATTTCATTAAAAAGTCTGGACCTTCTTTCTTCAGTTTGCTGTAATCTATATTCACTGAGTAGAACTTGTATTGATCATTGGGACCCAGTTTGTTCCAGGGTTCTGGATTATTCTTCCTATCCCAACTGACATCTGGATTGAACAATGCCAGGCACAAGACATACAGCACTGCTCCAGTACCTCCTGCCCCAATAAATATGAAGAGGGGGATCAAGCTCAGATGCTTCTTGGCCTGACTGATGATCTGGAGTAACATGGTTGTGGCAGAGGCCTCTTGTCCAGGAGAAGAAAAAACCAGGACTTACTTCTAATGAATAGAAAACAGCAAGAGTGGTGGGGTATCACTTTCAAAGGTAAGATGTAAAAAGACTGTGACTTCTTTCTTGGGTGCTCTCACACCCTCTCTCTTGGATTGTTCACCTGGGTGAGCCAGCTATGTATATTAAGGCAGCCCTGTTGGGAGACTCATGTAGCAAGGTGCCAAGACTGCCAACAACCCACACCCACTTCATTGCACCTTCAGATGAGACACAGCCCTAGCCCACAATTTGATTGCAGCTTTATGACAGACTCTGAGTCAGAGGCACCCAGATGAGCCATACCTGAATACCTGGCCCACAGAGATAATAAATATTTGTTGTTTTAATCAGCTGAACTTTGGAGTAATTGGTTATGTAACAATAGATACCTAATAGAGTTACCATATTTAGAAGTTATTTCTTAGTATCATTCAAAGAAGCTGTGGTTAGGGTCAATGGGCTTCATTTCTTACCAACTACATTTATCCCCTACTATATTACTCCAAATACCATGCACAAGGCCTTAAACTAGAAATCATTAACAGACAGATAACTGGAAAATTCCAAAATACATGGAGGTTAAACAACACACTTGTAAATCACACATGGGTCAAAGAAGACATCTCAAGACAAAGAAATATTTTGACCTAAATGAAAATTAAATACAACTTATCGATATCTGTGGGATGTAGCAAAAACAGTGCTGGAAGGGGAATTTACAACATTGAGAACTATATTACAAAAAAAAATAGGGGTGCGTGGGTTGCTCAGTTGGTTAAGTGTTCAACTCTTGATTTCAGCTCAGATCATGATCTCAGGATTTTGAGATCAGGCCCCATATCGGGCTCTGTGCTGGGTGTGAAACCTGCTTAAGATTCTCTCTCTCCCTCTCCCTCTGCTCTCCCCAACCCCTTTGGCCTGTGTTCCCCTCCCTCTCAAAAAAAGAAAAAAATGGATATGAAGATCAGTAATAGTAGGGCCACCTGGGTGGCTCAGTTGGTTGAGCACCCAACTTGATTTCAACTTAGGTCACCTTGGGGTGGTGAGATTGAGCCTTGCATCTGGCTCCATGCTAGGCCTGGAGCCTGCTTAAGATTCTTTCTCTCCCTCTGTCCTTCTTCCCTTCTCCCTCTCCCACCCGCCCCCACAAAAAAAAAAATAGTTAAAAAAAAAGGATAATAAAGGAATACTATAAACAGCTCTATGCTCACATTTATAACCTAGGACCAGTTCCTTTAACAACACAATCTGCCAAACTCACACAAGAAGAAATGGAAAATCTTAATAGATCTCTATCTATTAGAGACATTGAATGAAATCATGTAGTATTTGTCTTTGTCTGACTTATTTCACTTAGCATAATGCCTTCTAGGTCCATCTGTGTTGTTGCAAATGGTCAGGTTTCATTCTTTTCTATGGCTGGGTAATTACCATTTTACCACATCTTTTTTACCAATGCATCTATTGATGGAAACTTGGGTTTGCCTCCATATCTTGGCTATTGTAAATAATGCTGCAATAAACATAGGGGTGTATGTGTTTTCAAATTAGTGTTTTCATTTTCTTTGGGTAAATACCCCATAATGGAATTACTGGATCATATGGTATTTCTATTTTTAATTTTTTGAGTAAACTTCCTGCTACTTTTCATATATGATTTCGCTTATATGTAGAATCTAAACAAAACAAAACAGAACAAAACAAACAAAAAACAGGCTCTTAAATATAGGGAACAAACTCACAGTTGCCAAAGGGGAAGGGGGTTGGGGGAATGGGTGAAATACATGAAGGGGATTAAGAGGTACTAACTTCAGTTATAAAATAAATAAGTCACAGAAATGAAAAGTATAGCATAAGGAATATACTCAATAATATTATAATAATATCACCATTGTATGGTGATAGATGGTGACTACACGTATCATGATGAGCACTGAGTAATATATAGAATTGTCAAACCACTATGTTAGTCAGTCAGCTAGGTGTCTGACTCTTGATTTCAGCTCAGGTAATGATCTCAGGGTTGTGAGATTGAGCCCCACATTGTGCTCATGCACTAGGCATGGAGCCTGCTTAAGATTCTCTCTCTCTCTCTCCCTCTCTCTCTCTCTTTCCCTCTATAAATAAAACTTAAAAAATGAAAACTTTATTCATAATTGTCAATCTTTAAGCAATCAAGATGTCTTTTGGTAGGTGAATGAATAAATTAACTGTGGTACATCCAGACAAGGGAATAGTACTCAGTGCTAGAAAAAAAATGAACCACCAAGCCATGGCAAGACATGGAAGAGCCTAAATTTACATTATTAAGTGAAAGAAGCCAATCTGAAAACACTACATACTATACAACTCCAACTATATGACATTCTGGAAGACAAAACTATGAAGGAGGTAAAAATTTTAGTGGTTTCCAGGAGTTAAAGGGGAGGGAGGGAGAAATAGGCAGAGTGCAGAGGATTTTTAGGGCAGGGAAACCATTCTATATGATACTATAATGGTGGATAAATGTAACTATACATTTGTCATAACCTGTAGAATGTAATGTAATGTCAGCTATGTAATGTAAACTATGGATTTTGGGTGACAATGATGTATCAATGCAAGTTCATTCTAACAAATGGACCACCCTTAATGGGGGATTGATAGTGGGTGTCTTAGTCCATTTAGGTTTCCATAACAAAGAAATATCATAAACTTGTAGCTTATAAACAACAGAAATTTATTTCTTACAGTTCTGAAGGCTAAAAGTCCAAGATCAAGGTGTCAGCATGGCTGATTTCTGATGAAAATTCTCTTCCGGGTTGTAGAATGCTGACTTCTTATTATATCCTCACTTGGCATAGAATAGAGAGAGTAAGCATGCTCTCTAGTGACTGCTTATAAAAGTACTCCCATTTGTGAGGGTCCACCTTCATGACCTCATGAAATACTAATTACTTCCAAAGGTACCACCTCCTAATACTATCAAATTAGAAGATAGGGTTTCAACATAAGAATTCTGGGGCAACACAACCATTCAATCCATAACAGTGGGGGAGGCTGTACATGTGTGAAGGCAGAGGGTATGTGGGAACTCTCTGTACTTTCAGTTCAATTTTGCTGTGAACCTAAAACTGCTCTAAAAAATAAAGCCTACTTTTTTAAGTTGTTTTTTTAAAAATAAACAGGGCTTAGTGGATAAGGTCACCTTTAGGGTCCTGCCATCCCTGAGGGCTCCTGATGGTCTGTAGGGAACACCTCCTAACTAACATTCTGAGATGTGATTCTTGGAAAAGATGGGGAGGAGCAGGTAGGTCTCAAGCCCATGTGGGGAGACTCCGTTGTGATGAGTGGCCACTCTGAAGCAGGTTCTGGACTGGGAGATGGATTTAAAGGAATTCAACTCGGAGCAGGGGGCGGGCGGACATCTTGGGATCTGGAGAGTGGCCGGGCGGGCCGAGCAGGGGGCTGCGGACACCAAGTCTGTTCTCAGAGCGATGGGCCTTGGAGACTGAGCTGCCGCCGTGATTGGAGGCTTATTCATCTATAATCACAAGGGGGAGGTGCTCATCTCCCGGGTCTACCGAGATGACATCGGGAGGAATGCAGTGGATGCCTTTCGGGTCAATGTTATCCACGCCCGGCAGCAGGTTCACAGCCCCGTCACCAACATCACTCGCACCAGTTTCTTCCATGTTAAGCGGTCCAACATCTGGTTGGCAGCTGTCACCAAGCAGAATGTCAATGCTGCCATGGTCTTCGAATTCCTCTATAAGAGGTGTGACGTAATGGCTGCCTACTTTGGCAAGATCAGTGAGGAGAACATCAAGAACAATTTTGTGCTCATATATGAGCTACTGGATGAGATCCTGGACTTTGGCTATCCACAGAATTCAGAGACAGGAGCACTGAAAACCTTCATCACTCAGCAGGGTATCAAGAGCCAGCATCAGACAAAAGAAGAGCAATCCCAGATCACCAGCCAGGTGACCAGGCAGATTGGCTGGCGGCGGGAGGGTATCAGGTATCGCCAGAATGAGCTCTTCTTGGATGTGCTGGAGAGTGTGAACCTCCTCATGTCCCCCCAGGGGCAGGTGCTGAGCGCCCATGTGTCAGGCCAGGTGGTGATGAAGAGCTACCTGAGTGGCATGCCTGAGTGCAAGTTTGGGATGAATGACAAGATTGTCATTGAGAAGCAAGGCAAAGGCACAGCTGATGAAACAAGCAAGAGTGGGAAGCAATCAATTGCCATCGGTGACTGCACCTTCCACCAGTGTGTGCGACTCAGCAAGTTTGACTCGGAACACAGCATCAGCTTCATCCCACCAGATGGAGAGTTTGAGCTAATGAGGTATCGTACCACCAAGGACATCATCCTTCCTTTCCTGGTGATCCCACTAGTGCGAGAAGTGGGACGCACCAAGCTGGAGGTTAAGGTGGTCATCAAGTCCAATTTCAAGCCCTCATTACTGGCTCAGAAGATTGAGGTGAGGATCCCAACCCCACTGAACACAAGCGGGGTACAGGTGATCTGCATGAAAGAAAAGGCCAAGTACAAGGCCAGCGAGAACGCCATCGTGTGGAAGATCAAGCACATGGCAGGCATGAAGGAATCGCAAATCAGCGCAGAGATTGAACTTCTGCCCACCAATGACAAGAAGAAATGGGCTCGACCCAGGGCCAGATGGCTTCCCAGGGGAATTCTATCAGACATTTAAAGAAGAATTAATACCTAGTCGCCTGAAATTGTTCCAAAAAATAGAAATGGAAGGAAAACTTCCAAACTCTTTTTATGAGGCCACCATTACCTTGATCCCAAAACCAGACAAAGACCCCATCAAAAAGGAGAAT